TGCACGAGCAGCTGGATAGGACAGGTGTAATTTACGCAGCTCATTTACGCACGCTTCCTGAAGATAGAAGCGTTTGTTGAATCTGAGAATCTGACGTGACATGTTCGTACGAACCATTTGTACGAACAAAAGTAAGAGAAATTTAGGAGAAGAATACGAACATGTTCTTGCATGAGRCCCAATGTGTGTTCTCATCCAGATGATGTCTTTTGCAGAGAAATTCTTGCATATTTCAGTAAGACAATTTTAAACTGTATTCATTATAACAGCATGGCATCATTGTAGGAGTCTGGGTGCTGAACTGACCTGCCTGCAGTTCAGGCCTCTCAGTAATGGAAAACATTTGTCACATCATAAAGAAAAAAGTCCTGTAAAGACAAGGCTGGGACAATGTTCTCCTCCTAAACCTCACCTGGTCTCAGACTGTTGTTAATATAAGATGTTTCATAGTGGTAAACATGACCCTGTCCTGTCTTTTTTGACACATGTTGCTGCCATTAAATTGAAAAAGACTTTATTTTGTCAAAACAACTATGCTTCTTATTTTTCACATTTGATGTTTACTATGTTCCAGTATGAAGAAATTATGTGTTTATGAGGTTTTCAAATCTGTTTTTGAACCCAATTTACACAACATTCCGACTTTTTTGAAATGGGGTATTATCACTCTTTCATTTAACAATAAATAATTTATAGAGGAAATAACGTTTTTTATGCTTTTCTGTTTATATTTAGCGTACAAACACCTGTAACATTTTAGTTTGTTTTTGCATAGTAGTAAAAGGCCAAAGTAGGTCAAATCCTGTTGGCAACACAATGTATCCTAAATTACAACCAGAGCAAACAAAGAACATTTTATTTCACAAAGCTCTCTGATTGGATGAAGGTTGTCAAAACAAAGCCTTGTTACTATGAAATGGATTTGAATGTGCTCAAAGAGAAAACRGAGCACATGGTCCTCAAGATTGTTTGGCACATTTACCGAATTAGCTTTGTTTGTCTTTCAGGCCTGTATGCTGGCTCCAGCACCCCCCACCATGGTGCTTCGGTGGAGCTCCTGTCCCCCACCCCCAACTCTGCCCCTGTCACCGACCTGCCCGCCCGACACCATCGACTAGATCGGGACCTGGGCAGCCCTCGTCACCTGTCCCCGCTGGCTGCCATGGATGGCGTAACGAACGGGTCAGTGAAGCAACATGTGTCGGGCTCTCTTCTGATGGTCCGGGTCACTGAGAGGGGTGGGAGGGTTAGAAATGAGTCCGCATGGTGGAAAGTATAAACAAAAATCTGATAAAAGTGCCTGCCTTGATGAATGACAGAGGAAACATTCGTCACAATCTGGTCACATGACCAGACCTGACTGATTTTAACATCACATCATCAAACAACACAAAGGAYAATGGGGTCTGCAACCTGAGGCTCTGGAACCACACGTGGACCTTCAGACTCTTTCCAGTGGCTCCTTTTAATTTAGCCAAAACTCTCAAGCAGTATCCATCCATCCATCCATCCATCCATCCATCCATGTTAATATAAAAACTGATTTTAAAATCAATTGTAAACTTTTATTCATTATTTAATGCAACTAAATAAGCAAATTTTCAAAAGTGAAAGATCATAAGACTTGTCCCGCCCCTGAGCAATGTA